CAATTACTTTGTAAATCATTCTGTAAGTCAATGTTAAAGAAATTTTCTCTGTATTGGATTATCGGAAGACGTAGTTTGTTCTTTAGCTTAGCCGTCGTAATATTTCCTTACTCTCCCAGAACCCAATGTCTTTTTCGAGTGCAGCACTTTATTTATGAACCGTCGGCGACAACGAGGAGGATCGTCAAAGCCTGACATTTTTATTATTATCTCTGGGAGCCAGGGAACCCAAAACTCGACCAGCTGTCCCTGCACTGCACCCTTCTTCTGGAGGACCGGACCCCTCCCACACCCCTGGTTTCGATGACTAGCCATGCGTTGCCCGCTGCTGCCGCTGCCGCCGCCGCGTTGACAAGCTCAATTTCCAATCGCAATAAAACGCAGCACTCGCAGCAAGATAAATGTGAGAAAAATGCAGGCCTTTGGTCCCCGGTCTCCGGATCCCCCCTCATCGATTGCCGCCGCTTCTGAACCCCCTATTCCCGGTGCTCCCTATCGTCCGTTTCCTCTTCTTCCCCTGTTTCTTGGTCTTGGCGTCGTCGCCAAATCGCGTGGGTTTATCCTCCTGCAGGCTGAGCCAGAACCTGACCATCATGGGCTGCAAGGCAGAGGTGTAGTGAGCAAGGGGGTTTTTTGAAATAATTGGTATTTTACCTTTACAAAGAGAGAATATTTATTTACCTTTAAAATAAATTAATTTTTAATCTTGAAATACATTTATACATATGTACCCCTTTCAATAACCCCCGCCCACGCCTCTGTACAATTTTTGTAGGGTTTTTTCAGACTTTATTTTGTTGTTATTTTGCGTTTGCCTCTGTTTTTGGTGCGCCTCTTCAAGTGCCTGAAATTTATAGTGGTAATAAAATTTTATTTGCTCTTTTAGTTGATGGCACAATAAACTCTTCTGGCATTTTTTGGCCCCCCTTAAGCAGCACGTGCTCGGGGCTCTTCTCCTTCAGGTGATTATATTGAAATATATTCTGGACGCGAGACGGATTGAGTGGGTTTGATTTCAAGGTCATTTCTTAGGTTTTTGCGGGGCTAAAAGGGGGGAAAAAAAAACTGTAGAAAAATATAAGCTCAAGGGTAATGGATTGATATTTTTGTACAATATAAAAATTCTACGTATAATTCCTCTGTAATTATGAGATTGATATTATCTTTGATTTATTTTTCGGAAGACAGTCTCCTAATTAAATTTCCTCATTCCTTAAAGCCTTTTGTTTGCCATTGCCCCTAATTGGAGCGTATTCTCTGTTACACCTTGAGAGCTTTTTGAGGCCAAAGAACCTCACTCTCTCTCCCTCTCTCCGGCACTCGGTGAAAACTTAGTCAAGCCAATTATTATTTAAATAAAATGCAAAGCAGCAATTTAAGCCGCCGGCAGAGGTCGGGCAGCCGAGCAGAACGCTTCTCTCGACTTGCTTTAATTGAGAGACATCATCCACCCGAGTCGCTGCGCCGCCCCCTGAGCCACCTGAAGATGAGACGCACTAACTGGCTACGGCCAGCTATATGTTTACCGTTGCCCCTGCTGGCTGCTTCCTCTTTGGCTTCAAATGATGCCGCCAACAACAATGGCAAGCCCAGCAACAGCAACAGCAGCAGCGGCAAGAACAAGAACGAGAACACGAACTGACAGTTGACGGGGGCGACGCCTTTGTCTAACAGCAGAAAATGAAAAAAAAAAAAAATTAACAAGAACAAGAAAAGGAGACAGCAGCCAGGCCAAGTCACTTGGACGAATTTTTAAAATGGTTACTTTGAGCTGTCTTTAATAGTTTCCCATCATTTGTAGATCACTGATATTTAATATGTTTAAAGAAGCAGAATTCATTATCTTAAATCTTCAATTTAAATAAGAAATTCTTCTGTTTTTATAACTAAAAAATATTTTGTACGTTTGAAAACCTATTTAATCTGATAAAGATTTTCATAAACTATCCTTAAATAAAATTAAATATTATTTATTTTATATTAATATATTTTAAAACCTCTCCTCGTTATCTTCGTTTCTTAAATTATTTATTTTTAAGTAAATTTCCATCGTTTCTATGGAAACTAAGAGGCTACATAAGCCGACGGCATAGCAGTCGCCTTCGTCCATGGTTGTCGTAAATCAAAATGGCTGAAGCTGAAGTTGATGGCTGAAGAAAGAAGTCATTCCATATCATTCCATTTCAGTTCAGTTCCGTTCAGTGGCCGACACATTGGTTAGACAGGGACGGCGCATGCGTGGGAGTGCGATGGCGAGTGTTGATGTTCTCATTAACCGAATTCTGGCCAAAATTCTTCGCATGTGTGCGTGAAATGATGGATTGCCATTCCCGTTCACTTTCCTGCCATCCTATCTCTTCTCCTCGTATGTCCTTCCTCCTCGTCTCGAGCTGTCGATGTGTGCGGCTTAAAACTGGTAACGGGACTCTGTCGGGGTTGTCCGTGTGTGTGCGTAAGTGGGCTGGGCTTAAAACTATGGTTGTTGTCATGGCTAAGTGAACGAGCAATGTACAGTGGGATAAAGGGAATAAATTTCAAACAAAATCTTTTGAACAAATTAATTAAAAGTTTAGTAAAATATATACAAATAATGAAAAGGAAATCGAAATTTAAAGCAAGTAAGGTCTGGATAAGGGAGTAAAAAAATGTTTATTCACAAATAGAAAATTAAACGTCATAAAATGTATCTTATGCCTAATGACAAATCCTATGACATGATACACTTATGCGGAAATGTTTTGATGTGTACAAAAACGTTTCTAAGAGTAAATAAAATATTCTCCATATTTTTTAAAAGTGTTTTATGATATTGATATATCCGAAAAACCATGAAAAAAAACCTTAATTCTCCTAAATTTTCGCTTGACAGAGACCACTGTAAAACTGACAGTCGCTGATTATCTGCTAGATGGCGCTGCTTGTCACTCACCAGCCAGCGCCCTCTGCCAAAGGCATTCCACGCATTTGCTCAAATTTTCTGTTGCCTGCTTTCAGGCTTTTGATGGAAATGCATGTAGAGCGCCTGTCAAATTTGACAAGGTGTCAAGGTATTGAAGAGTGTAGTTCCTGGCAGACACAATAGACGGCGCTATTTTCGGTCCATCTGTCCGTCCGTCCGTGCTTATGTCCGTCCGTCCGTCCGTCCGTCGTTCTGTCCATCCGTCCGTCTGTCCATTTATAGACAAACTAGTCATTCAGTTTTAAAGCTATCTGAATGAAACTTTGCATATAGTCTTCTATACACTCTCACTGCTCTATATGTGTCGGAACGGGCCGGATCGGACGACTATATCCTATAGCTGGCATAGGAACAACAGATTAAGGTCGCTTGCAATTAAAGTGTTTTTGCGAAATCTTTAATGGCAAATCAAATTTTAGCAATTTCTTCGCCTGAATAAATCACATCAGACGCACATAAATCATAAAGGGAGCAGGGCGGGCAGCTCCCCCGCAACCGCAGCAGCGGGCAAAAACAGGAAGAACAGACAAAACACACACATCAGACATTATTATCATCTCGCTTGTGCTTGAGTGAGTTTCTTTGCCTGCCCCAAGGCTCCCAGCCTCCTTCTTGTTCCCCCTTCTGATATAGGCACAGATCGGGGCACAGTCCAGCGATTTGCCAGCATCCGTTTGGCCCTCGACAAGGACACCAACACATACACATACACATAGAAAACAAACACGCAAACACACGCTTCCTTCCGCCGCTGCCGCCATTGTCCTTTCGCGCCATTTCTCCCCCTCTCCCGAGTTTCCCGCGCTCAATCGCCATCATTGGGAAATGTGTGTAATTGAAAGGGAAGCTTTTGGCTTTGGCAGCGACGGAGGCAAGAAAATTATTTCGTTAACAAAAGGCCAAAATGCCAGGGGGAAAGCAGCAGGAAGGGCAGGAAAAGCGGAGAATGCAGAACGCCGCCGCCGCACACACAATGCAAATGTGCGGAAAAGGGACCGGGGAGGGACTCGGATGCAAGACTGAAATATTTTAAAGTTTACCATTCTCTTTATTTTATTATTCTGCCGCCTTTTTCCTCGCCGGTACATGTTGTTTTCTTTTTGTTGTTGCTTGGGCTTTTTGTGCTCTGTGGAAAGTCGGGGAAGTTTCATTTCCGACAGCAAGTTACCGTTAGTTAGTCGGGGGTCCTTTCGGCAGGGTTGTCACCATCGCCACAGATTCGGAAAGAGCGGGACAGACACATGACTGCACTGCTTGGCATGTAACGTGTGTCTCTCCTTCTCCCTCTCGTTGTCTGTCTGTCTGTCTGGATTATTCGAGCGGAGTGTAGTGGAGGGGGGGAATTTTGTGATTTATGAGGTCAGAGACTCGTGATAATGAGCCAGGAAATTAAATCACTTTGACCGGAAGGATGTCAGGTCAAAAGGGGATAACACAATTGATTTCATATTCATAAATTCAATGAATGTTGTCAGGCTTGTCAGGCAACGGGGGACTTGCATGCCAGCGGAAGATCCTTGGCCGGAGGATTACAAAAGTTTTTGGGGGAGCAGCAGCAACATTGCAGTCATGCCATCTTGGCTTGACTTGTGGAATTTGCCCAATAAGCTTGAAAGCTACTCAGAGGGGAGATAATAAGGGGTTTTCTTGGGGTTTTAGGATTGCCAGGTCATGATAATACTAGCCAGTTTGACCATGTCTATTAAATATGCTGCATAAGTGTTAAGAAGTCACATTTAATGAATAAGTCTCATTTTCTGGCACCTAGTCGGAAATCTTAAAACAAATTTTGACTCAGAACTTACACAACCTTCGCACTGCTCCCTTCATCTCAAAACTCCCCAATTCTGTGACATCTTTTTAAGAACTTTTCGAAGCATGCAATAAACCATTTTTCACATGCCCCCACATGTTGCCTTAAGCTTAGGCAACATGTGAAATCAGACAGCAGCCAAAACCCCAAATCAAACTTCACTTAAAGGCAAAACTCTGAGCTGAGAACACAGCAATAACCATACATTTCGCTTTCAATTATTTGCAGAGTTTCAAAATCAAAATTGAGGAATACCAACTAGAGGATAAGGCTATTTAAGGATTAACGGACACCAAGGAGAGGGGATTTTCTACACCAAATCGAGAGACAAGAGACGAGGAGCGCAGGTTCATTTCGTCGTTTTTGGCCAAGACAGCAAACAGAGGAACAGCAAAGCGGAAATCATTTTATACCTCACACAACAACTACACACTAACTAAGATTAGGCTACGCAACTGTACATTGTACTTAAGTGTTCAAAGGATATTTAGGTGAGTGATATTTACGACTTTTCCTCAAGGCTTTCCTTAAGCTGCTTTAAATTTGAAAATTCTATTTTTATATAAATTTTTTCAACATTTTCATTTCAGTTTACTTTGTATATAAGGAAAGTAGCTAAAAGCACGGAGACGGGGAAGCACCACAGTCACTAGACACTAAGCAGAGTCACAGTCACGATCACGTTCACGCCAGGATCAGGATTAGCGGCGGGGTCAGCAGACGCTGAAGCAGCCGCCACGATGACGATGAGTACAAACAACTGCGAGAGCATGACGTCGTACTTTACCAACTCGTACATGGGGGCGGACATGCACCATGGTCACTATCCGGGCAACGGGGTCACCGATCTCGACGCCCAGCAGATGCACCACTACAGCCAGAACCCCAACCATCAGGGCAATATGCCCTACCCGCGCTTCCCGCCCTACGACCGCATGCCCTACTACAACGGCCAGGGAATGGACCAGCAGCAGCAGCAACAGCAGCAGCACCAGGTCTACTCCCGCCCGGACAGCCCCTCCAGCCAGGTGGGCGGGGTCATGCCGCAGGCGCAGACCAACGGCCAGCTGGTGCCGCAACAGCAGCAGCAGCAACAGCAGCAGCAGCCCTCGCAGAACCAGCAGCAGCAGCCGCAGCAGGCGCCGCAGCAGCACCAGCAGCAACTGCCCCAGGTGACGCAACAGGTTACACATCCGCAGCAGCAGCAGCAGCCGGTCGTCTACGCCAGCTGCAAGCTCCAAGCGGCAGTCGGTAACCTGGGCCTGGTGCCCGAGGGGGGATCTCCGCCGCTGGTCGACCAGATGACCGGCCACCACATGAACGCCCAAATGACGCTGCCCCACCACATGGGCCATCCGCAGGCGCAGGTGAGTAGCGGGATGGCAGGGTAGCACTAAGGGTGAAGGGTAGTGGTTTAAAGTTACAGAAGGAAATCGCAGAAAAAAATATGCCTAAAAGTATGCTATAATAATAACAAATTAACAGTTGCCTTTTGAAGTTGAAAACAGACTTATGGATACCCCTTAAATTTAATTATTTAAATTAACAAATTTTTTACACCGCTAATAGTAAATTATCACCATTTCGCAATTATTAAAATGGGTTTTTGAAGTCACCACTTGTGTGAGTTTTAATTCTGCAGATCTTTTAAGGATTTGAAATCAAAGAAAATATTAAAATAAGATGCGTAACGCTCATACATATAATGGAATAAATTCGTAAAATTCAAGTAAATAATCTATGGCATTACTTTTATACTAAATTATCCTCGATTCTTTGTTATTTTAATATTAGCCTAAAGTTCGTTTTACATAGACTAAGATCTGTTTTAGAACTCCTTAGTCCACCTGCTTAAATCGCTTACCACTTAACGCTTTTCCCATCTCTCTCACTCTCGCTTTCGCTGCTCGCACCCACAGCTGGGCTACACGGACGTGGGAGTTCCCGACGTGACAGAGGTAAGACGAGTACCCCACTCCGCTTAATTCACATTTCACAATCCACTAAGATCTCCGTCAATGGTGAATGGTTCTCGCCTGAATATATGCATCTATCATACAACTAATCCAATTTATATCTCGTCCGATTTAGGTGCATCAGAACCATCACAACATGGGCATGTATGGACAGCAGCAGACGGGAGTGCCTCCGGTGGGCGCTCCGCCCCAGGGCATGATGCACCAGGGCCAGGGTCCACCGCAGATGCACCAGGGCCATCCTGGCCAACACACGCCCCCTTCCCAAAACCCGAACTCGCAGTCCTCGGGGATGCCGTCTCCACTGTATCCCTGGATGCGAAGTCAGTTTGGTAAGTGTCAAGGAAAGTGATCGACAATTCCACGAAACGTATTAAGTGGAATTTTTCTTCTTCTTATCGTAGTGGGTTGCAGTAGTTAGTTCCCCCGTTTAGAGTTGATCGTAGTTTCCCCTTTTTACAAATTTTAACGGTGCCTACAACAAACAACAAGAGTCACTATTGGTATTTAGTTATATTATCAGAACTTTTACAGCTTTTAATTAAATTTTTTATGAAAAAGTAATTTTTTGTACTACAATTTTAAACACAACATTTTCGATATTTTCCCCCAATACACCTTCAACTTTTCAACTTTGAATTTCACAAAATGCTATGCAAATTTCCCCTGTAAACTCTTCCCGCTCTTCATCGGCATCCTCACAATCCTGGCATGGCCTTGACACGTCCGGGTAATTTCACTTTATTGCCTTGGCCAATTGCTCGACATTAGGCGTAATCCATCTGCAGAAGGCACCCTCCGATACCTGACATTCGTTCAAATTTGCAAACTTCCCAGATCCGGAAAATCGATGAATGCAGGCAGATGAAAGAGGTTTGGCGGAAGAGGTGCTCACCGGTGCTCACCGATTTTCCGGCAGAGCCCCGAGCACAGAAGGCGGTCCTCCCTGCTAATGCAAATTGACAATAGTCCCGACCCGTCCCAATCCGTATCGTTCCGTTCCGAGTCCTGCAGCCCCGAAAAAGGTTTGCCAAAAACCCGAAGGCGTAACTAATGAGAGCTCGCAACTAGAGCACGCAGGCTGCATGTGGTGCCAAAGGATGTGTTGCATAAGTGGGGAGAGTCCTTTCGAGGGAAACTGGAAGTAAGGCGAGTCCCTTCCAAATATAGAATTCCGTTGGCCTTTCACTTTTCCCCGGAGAAAGTGAGAGCCGTACTCAAGTGGCTGCTGGCCCTTAGGTCCTTTGGTTCGTCGGTTTACTTGCCGCCAGCAGCTGACCTGCTCCTGGGTCATTACCGAATCCGAGGAGCTTTTCGGGATCTCCATCCTTCCTCCGGCCGCTCTGTGGTTTTTTTTCCCGTATTTTTTCGCCAAAGCCAGATTGAGATGTAAAGCAGAATTGATGAGCGCCATTAGTTACACGTTATGTGCAATGGATGCCATCAATTTATTAATCTCCAGAACACGCCGAGGCTCCATTCATAGCACCACTCCGCAGTGGCCACTCCGTCGTCTTAATCCCCTGCCCGCTGGCCTCCTCCCCTTCCCCCACTCTCTTCTGGCGGTGCAAAAAATAAAAGCGAACGCGCCTTAAAAAAATAAAGAAAAGGAAGGCAACCACCACCACCACCACCACCATCGCCACGGTGACATGAAGTTTTCCTCTCTTTTCTCTCATTTCATTTATTTCTGTTGTTGTTGCCGTACTTTTTGCTTCTTTTCTTTATTAAAAATGAAGCGGTCAGAGGTGTGGGGCAGCGGTACAGAGGAGGAGGGGGCAGTATTAAAGCTGGAGTTGGCCCGAAGCTGGCACGGCGTCTCCCGCGGCGGCAACTGCGGCATTCTCACTGTGCCACAACATGATCCCCGAGCTTAAGTTACGATGATTAAATGCATACGAGTTTATTTCTGCTTAGGTTTTTTGCCTCGCCTGCATCGTCTCTGTGTTGGCTGCATTTTGCATAGCCCATAAATAGTCGCCGACAGTGGAGTAAATAATCGAAAATAGGATGCAAGCCTCAGGCAGTGCAGGCTTATTAATAGAGAATTTTCCATCTAAATTTAAAAATAAATTTAAACAAAGTGCGAAATATAGTTATTTCCATATTAATTATTTAGCTTATTCATGAATTATTTTAGATGAAATAAATAAAAAAAACATTATTCAAAGACAAATTTCTATGTAGCTTTAACTTAATTATTTCCAATTCTATTCTATAAAATATATCACTAATACGTTTTTAATCTACAAAGCTGTTCTATAAACTGTTATAAATCTGTTATACCGACATATACCTCTTCCACTGTATCACGATCGTAACTACTTAACGCCTGGACATATTTCAGGCGTGCATTAGGCAACAACTAAGGCGAACAAATAAAAATATAAAGGTGCCACAAAAGGTTCCGATCGTGACTGGGCAAGGCGAGAAGACGACTCTTCGGGGTCTCCTTCGTATAAAAAGCATTGGAGCAGAGGGAAAAACGAACTCGGTTTCAATTAAGTTGTAACTCATGATGGCAGTCAGCGACAATGGGGCTTGGGCACCCCTTTTGGCCCTTCTGCTGGCCCTTAATGTTGTTTTGATATTTACCAAGTTCAACTCGATTTTCAGCCCTTTTCCCCCGGTCTTTATCTCGTTTCTATTTGATAATTTGTTGGAGAGTCAAGCAGGAGAAGGGAAACTTGCAGTCCAAGCCCGAATCCTTTGGATGCGGCTGGCTCTTTTTGCGGTCCTCGACTTTGGGGTCATAAATTTAAGCGACAGTCAACAAATTTTTGCAACAAGTGTTTGCCTGTTGGCCTGGTCTTCTCAATACCCATTTGCACCTAGAGAAAAATGTTTATAAATTCCAGTTAGTAGGGAAATTGTTTATATTTCTTTTATAGAGAGCTCATATTTATTATAGATTTACTTCTGTTAAATAAAAACATTTTCTTGCTTATTTTAAGTTGGAAACTAGCTTATACACCCCCCCTAAATGTGGTTTACTCACTTCGGTATAAATGCATTTTTTATTGCCGCTGTCAGAGCTGCTCATTGTGATTCGCTCAGATTGCCTGGGAAATCTCTCGCTTACACAAAATGGAAATATTTACGCCAGAGGAGGAGCCAACGTTGAGCACTTTTCAATTCTGGCTAGTACGAGTATGAAAAGTGCACTTCATTGTGCGCATTATAAGCGACAGTTTCCACCCCGCAAAACCCGTCGTCTCCCGTTCCCGAGCCCCCTCCAGGAGCTGTCAGTGGGGTTCAAGACAATGAAAAGGAACTTCTCCGATGCTGGCCAAAAAGTTGCACGTTGCCTGCTGGAAAAACTTTTGCCCTGGCTTTCGTAAAACGTTGATCCCGGCCATCATCCGTTTGGCAGTTGCCAGCGGGGCAAAAAGTGCGGGGAAACTTCTGGCATCCTTGGACTTTGTTGTCTGTTGGCGCTGCACTTAATGTCCTGGAGAGTTTTGCTTAACTTGAGGATTTGCGCGCAAACTACTTTTCGATGGCACAAGAGCGACAGTGGGCGGTGGGTGGACGGTGGTCGGTGGTCGGTGTGGTCGACGAAGGGCGGCAAGCAACTACTTAGGCAGACGATTGGCCCGGCTTAGATGTGTCCAACCAAAGTGAAATTGTGTTAACGTATTTTTCTCTGGCATTGCTCAGGATTCCAAGGTACTCGACGGGGTTTGGGGTATGCTGTTGAGGCATTTAATAGGAAGAAAAGAAGCTTTATTATATTATAAACATTTTAATATAATATACATTATAATTATTATTATATTTTTTGGCTTTTATGAAGAAATTGTATACCGTGTTCTGTAAATACCAGGTATCTTTTCGTCGAATAATTGAGCTTTAGCTTACTTTTCTGCATTTTTTTTCGTGCTGTGGGCAATTTAAGCGGGCGGATCAAAAGATAATTTGGCAAATGCGTGAAGATTTTTTCTAAAAAAAACAAGAAAGGAAGCTAACTTTGGAAAGGTGAAGTTTGTATACCCTTGCGATTGGAAATCGATGATAACTAAGCAAAAAAGGCAATAATTTTAATTTGGAAAAACCAGCATATGGAGTTAAGCATTTAAAAAACAAAAATATTTTCAAATTTTAACTACGTAACCCCTTAAAAAATATTGAAAAAATGTTTACCTTATTTATGATTTTTTTATTCATCAGACAGGGCTAAATCGACTCTCCTTTTGATGTTGATCAAGCATATATATGATTTATATAGTCAGAAATCCCTCCTCAACTGCATTGCAAGCTTCTGAATAAAATTACAATGCCCTGCAAGGGTGTAAATATGTGCAGATGTAGAGGTCTAGGAAAACTCACCCTCTGACGGGGCCTGTCAAAAAATTTGAGCAACGTGAAGCACAAAAAATGACACAGGAACTTTGGGGATTTCCAACCCAAAAACACCAACCCACACACACACACACACACACACACACTCTGAGTCGCTTTGGGGGGAAAAGTTTAATAAAGCGCAGCAAATGCGAAGAGGAAATTTCGCTTTTATTCCGTTTGCACGCCCCCGAGCCCCAGCTCCGCCCCCGCCCGCCGCCATCCTTGTGGCCAGCTGAGGAGCCCAGAATAATGGCAACAGCTCGCCAAAGGTCCTTGGGGGCCTCAGCTCGAGAGCTGAGAGATGGGTCAGTTTTTGGACAGAGATGCGGGGGCCTTGTGGCTCAATCGCTGCTCTGTTTTCGGATTCCATTTTTTCCTTCATCTTCTGGCTCTGGTTCTGTTTCGGTTTCTGCCGCTGCTTTGCTGCTGTTTTTGTATTTTGGGATTTGGCCAACCTTTTGACAAATTACGAATATTATTCATGCGGCAATGAAGTGAGGAAGCTCCTGCCGCCCCTCTCCGGGCCTTCTGGGCCTCCTGCGGTCCGCGCTTCTGCGTTTGGGATTCCTTAAAAAAAATGTATCCAATGCGGAGACCCCGGGTTCCCCGGTTCCGGGGTTCCGCTCCTCGCCAGCATCCGAAACTAGTTAGGAATTATTAATTTGAGGTTATGCAAACGACTCGCCAAAGGAGAGCGGGGCCAGCCTCTTGCAATTATTTCAATCAAGGAAGCAGCCATTTTGAGTACTTGGGGTAACGAGGTCTTCGAAAGCCTTCTTTAAACTGGCCAAGAAGTCTAACCTGATAACTGGCAATTACTTATTATAAAGGCCCTTGCAAAGGTCTATTTTTAAATTGAAAAACCAAAGAGGATATTACACTTTTAAGAAAAGCGTTTCTTCTGGTTAATAATAAATCTTGAATAAGAGCCAGGAATGTTTTAAGATAATGCACTTAAATGCGCAGGGTTACCTTTTTATTAAATATTTTAAATTGATTA